CCTCCAACTTTGTACTACATTTTCATTTTGGAATCAGCTTGTCAGTCTCTACAAACAGACCCGCTAGGATTTTGACTGGGATCAAATTAAATGATTTTGGAGAGCCTGACATCTCACCAATATTGGGTGTTCCATCCAGGAATAGGGTAGTCTGTTATTTAAATCTTCCTTAAATTCACACAGCAGTAGTTTGCAATTTGAATATAGAACGCTTGTCTATCTTTTGTTCAATTTATCCCCAGGTATGCCATGTTTTTGGGTGCTTTGCAGGTGGCATTGTTTTAACAATTCATTACCCGACTTCAGATTCAATGGTTGCTATTACATAAAAATATAATTCATGTATATTGCTTTTGAAATCTGTGACCTCGCTAAAATCACTTATCACTCGTGGTAGTTTTTCTTTTCAAGATTTTATTTTTAAAGTAGTCTCTACCTCCAACGTGGGGCTCAAACTTACAACCCCGAGATCAAGAGTTGTATGCTCTACCGACCAAGCCAGCCAGATGCCCCTCATGACCATTTTTCAATGGAACTTCTATTAGCCTGGTTAATACCTTCAGTATAATATTGAAGGGATGAGAATCAGATTCTTTCCTAGTTCCTGATCTTAGAAAACAAGCATTCAGTCTGTCACGATTATATGCTGATGGTAACTTGATTGGGGGTGCCCTTTATCAGACTGAGAAAGTTTCCCTTTTCCTACTTTGCGGGGAGGTTGGCTTCTCTTTTCTTTTTAAAAACATGAATAGGTGTTGGATAATGTCAACTACTTTTTATGCATCTGTTGAAATGATCATAGGATTTTTATCCTTCAATCTCTTAATGTGGCAAATTACACTGGCTGGTTTTTAAAATGTTACAACCTTACTGCAGTCTAGAGTTTACCTAGAGATAAACTTTACTTGGTCCGGATGTATCTACCATTTTTATAGATTATCAGATTTGATTTGCTAAGATTTGTCAGATTTTGCATATATATAAATATAGCAAGAATGTTCTTTACTTTTAACATCCTTGTCAGTTTTGGTATCAGGATTCTCAGAATATCATTAAATTAGTTAACTAATCATGAAATTAGTAAGATTGGTATTGTTTCTTCCTCAAATGTTTGAAAAGAAGAACAAAGAAACAGAAAATAGGGGCACCTGGGTGGCTCAGTGGGTTAAAGCCTCTGCCTTCAGCTCAGGTCATGATCCCACGGTCCTGGGATCGAGCCCCGAATCGGGCTCTCTGCTCCACAGGGAGCCTGCTTCCTCCTCTCTCTCTGCCTGCCTCTCTGCCTACTTGTGATCTGTCAAATAAATAAATAAAAATCTATAAAAAATAATTAATTAATTATGGCTCACAGACCTAAAACCTAAAACTGTAAAGGTTCTCAAAAAAAAAAAAATATCCTAGAGTATCTTCATGATGTTAGGGTCAGCAAAGATTTTCTAAACAAGTCACAGAAAACGTTTGAAAGACAGAAGACGAATCTTCTGTTGCTCCTTCGTAGACCCTGACAGAGAGGCAAGCAATAGGTCAGGAGAAAACATAGATACTGATAAGAGACCTATCCAGAATATATAAAGAACTGCTCCGCAGCAGAACACAAATTAAAAAGAAGCAAATAAGGGCGCCTGGTGGCTCAATGGGTTAAGACTCTGCATTCAGCTCGGGTCATGGTCTCAGAGTCTTGGGATCGAGCTCCGCATCGCATCAGGTTCTCTGCTCAGTAGGGAGCCTGCTTCCCCTTCTCTCTCCCTGCCTCTCTGCCTACTTGTGATCTCGCTCTCTGTCAAATAAATAAATAAAATATTAAAAAACCCAAAAACCCACAATGATGCGCCACATTAGAAAGACTGACAAACCAAATGTGAGGAAGGACGGCTCTTGCTGGTGGGAGTGGAACACGGGACAACCACTGCGAAATATGAGAATTTAAAACATCAAGTTTAGGTCTCCACTCCTACCTAGCAATTCCACGCCCCATGCCCAAGCAGTTATCCAAAAAACAAACAAACAAAACGAACAAAAACAAAACATGAAAACATAGGACTACAAAGAGAATTGCACAGGAATATTCATAGCAGCTTTATTCGAAATAACCCCAAACAGGAAACCACTCAAATGGTCACCGAAAGGAGAACGGATAAAGGATCCACGCTTTAGTCCTGCGATGAGATGTGCTAATACAAAGGACCAAGAACACCGACACATGACGGATACGTTCAGGGACACGGAGGGACGTCGCAGGCACGGTGCTGCCCACCAGAAGCCTACGCCAAGGAGCGCAGACGGCGTGGGTCCATTTACACTACGCTCTCCAACCGGCAAAACCCGTGACGGAAATCAAAGTAAAGCCGAGGGTCTGCGGCTGACTGGGGAGAAGCACGAGCACGTTCTCGGGGGCGATGAAAACGTTTATTTTGACAGGCTGGGAGTGAGTTGCCAAAACTCGTCTAATTGCAGTGGGTGTAAATGCGGCCTCGATTTCGGAACGAGCTGCACACACGCGGCGCGCGCACAGGCGGGCACGGAGCAGGTGCGCAGCAGGTGCGCAGGTGAGTGGGCGCAGGCTGGAAGCACCGCGCCGGGAAGGACGCACGCGCGGGAGGCCGGACCCCTGCCCCTCCGGCTCCCACCGGCTCCCTCCCGCTCCCCTCGGCTCCGAGGGCCCTGCCCCCTCCAGGCCCGCCCCTTCCGCCCCCACGACGTTCGCGCTGCGTAGGAAATCCGAATGGCTGAACCCGCGAGCTGGATGCTAAAGAGACCGTGTCTCGGCCACAAACAAACGGCGCGTCGTCGCACTGTCATCAGTCAAGTGTCAAACGCACCCGCTCTCGAAAACCCCCGGGGCCTGCAGTCGGCGCGCTGAGAGCCCCGTCCCTCGCAGTGGTCGCGTCCGCGCGGCGGAGCGCACCATTCACAGAGGGGGAGGGACCGAGGTTTGCGTTCAAACAGACCCTCCCTCCTGCCCCAGACTGACAGCGGAGTGGTCCCGCGAGGGGGGAAAAAGTGGAGGAGGGGGCGAGCGGCCCCGTCCGCGCGGAAGTGGAGCCCGGCTCCGTGACATTTTCTCTGCTTCCCCGCAGTCGGAGGACAGTGAGCCGCTCCGGAAAAAAGAAACCGGAAGCTCTGCGGCGCAGGCAGGAGTGTAGAGGTGCAGCCGCACAATAACGGGGCTCGCGGGCCTCCCGGGCCGAGCCCCCGGCTGCACGGGCAGGCCTCGCGTGGGGCACTTCCCACTCCCGCGACTGGCGGTCCGGCCGGGTTTTCTCCGTCCCGCGGAGCCGGGGCCGGCGGGGAAGCCCCCTCCGGGAAGGACAAAGGTCCGGAAGTTGGGGAACCAACGCAGCTCGGGCTTCCTGCTTCGGCCCCCGAATAACCACAGCGGAATGGAGCCCGGGGTGCCACCAGAAGGCGGGGGGCTCGACAATCCGGGGCCACCGGTCCCCGGGATCCCGAGATCCGAAAATCTCAGATCCTGATGCTTTGTGCGTCTTGTTTCAGGGCTTCCCGCACCTAGCTCTGGGAGGGGTGGGGCGGCGAGGCACCCCTTAGGCCGCTGCAGGTCCCACTGTCCTGTCCAGCCGCGAGTCCGGCTGGTCCTAACATCTCCATCACCGCCACCCAGGCCTCCCCGCACTGCACTCCTAGCCTGCTGCCGCCAGCCAAAGCTCCAGCCCCACAGAACGCTACGTCCCCAGTGCCCCACCCCCAGCCCCCCACGACTCTCCCGAGCTGAAAACACACGGAGCCGAGAGCCGGTGACTCAGAGGGGACTCATCTGGCTCAGTCAGGAGCTTACCCGAACCTCGGGGGAGCGTGTCACCGTCCCGGGAAGCACGCTCCGAGGCCGGACGCCCGGTAACCCCGGAGCCCAGCGGCTACCTGCGCCCAGGATCGTGGCTCTGGACTTTTGAGAGGCTCAAAACTTTTAGCGCCAGTCGGAGCACATGGGAGGGGAAAATCCCAATCCCAGCAACCCCCGCGAGGCTCCTGGCACAAAGCTGGACAGTCGCCATGACAAGTAAGGGCAAGCCGCTAGCCGGCGGGCGGAGGCGGTGGGAATGGAATCCGAGAGGAGGGCGGGGACACAGTCGGGCTTCGCGCCGGGCCGGTTGCTGTCGCCGCTCGACTTTGCGGGTGGGGAAGTTCGGCAGGCCGGAGCTTCGAGCGCTGAGTTGGTGGACACCATTTTAGAAGACTCCTGCCGCCGTGTCACATGCGAAGGTGGAAGGAAGAGGGTCCTCTGCACTTGTCATTCCTCTCCCGGCAGCTAAAACGTCACCTGTTAGGAAGGACTTCCTCAGTATCCGAATCCAGCGAATTCCTTCAGATGCTCTGCATCACCCCATCCTGCTGACTTTCCCTCACAGCCCCACAAAGTTCTCCGCAAAGATTTCTCCTCGCCTTAAACTCAGAGCAGCGTGAGCCTTAGGGGCAGAGACCTTGCCTCCCATCTTATCCATTGTTGTCTCTCCCAGTGCTAGTGCAGGACTGGGAGCAAGGATGGGCTCCCTAATAAACACCGAACGAATGAATGGAAAGAGATCCAAGTCAGGAATTTGGTGGCATGAGAAGCAAAAGAGGGTCAAAACCTGTAAAATCGGACACAGCGCTCGCGCCCTCTGCGGGTGAGGGAGGCAGTGGGTGCTTTAAGAGTGCGCGACCGAGACGGCAGGGGGAGCTCAGACACTTCTCGCCGAGGCATTAGCTCTCGGACTACAACACCCGGCAGCCACCAGGGGCCCCGCGGCTCGATGGGAACGAACCTGCGTGACCTGTTGCGTGCATGCCCCACCCGTCCCGTGGGTCGCCCGCGAAATGTGATCGGGGATGCGGAGGGCCAATGGAAAGGTGGGGCCAAATCCCGCGAGAGCGAGAGGCTCTCGGCGACCGGCGGGGCTGAGGGACGCTGTGCTTGCGGTCTCGCCGCGTCCACCGGTCTGGCTCGCCTCCCGGGGGTCTTCCGCGCCCTCCCGGAAGAAGGCGGAAGGCCCCGCGGGCTCTCAGGTCTGCGTCCGGGAGCCGAGCGAACTTCGGGGCGCTGTGGGTCCAGCGGGACGAGGGTTGCGGCCGAGGCCGGCGTCCGCGCTTCTTCGGCAGCATGAGCGCGCCCGAGGCGCCCGGGTTGGCCGCGGACTGCCTTGCTGCTGACCAGGACTCCGCTCCTGCCCCCTCGGCCGTCGGAAGTATGGATCCCGCCGTGCTGCCGCCGCCGCCCCCCGCCGGGGACGACCCGCCGCTCCAGTCCCCGGATCCCGCGGCTGGTTCCCAGGAGGCGGGGGCGGGCGGCTCCGCTTCTGCCTCCCCCGCCCCGGAGGCAGGCCTCGCTCCTCCTCGCGAGTTGAGCCCTCGAATCGAGGAGCCCGAACTTTGCGAAAACGTGAGCCTTCCTGCAGAAGAGACGAACGCGCCAGAGTCGGGGCCGGGGGAGGCCGGGGAAGGCATGTCTGAGGACCCCGCCCCGGAGGACGAGGGATACCCGTAAGTGGGGATGGGGGCCGTCGCGGCCCGAGGAGATCGGGAGTGGCAGATGCGTGGGAGTGCACCACTCGTCCTTGGCCCGGGTTGTGCAGGCTCGCTTCCTTCTTGCTTTGCCGACCCCCTTCTTGTCCCCCTCCCCCATTTTCCTTCCAGCACTTGGAACTACAGCTTCTCCCAGCTACCTCGGTTTCTCAGTGGTTCCTGGTCAGAGTTCAGCACCCAACCGGAGAACTTCTTGAAAGGCTGCAAGTGGTAAGTTAGAATAATGGGGCCGGGAGATAACCGTGCTCAGGATTTTTGCCATAAAATAAAAACCCCAGTTATCTGGGAGAAGTAAGAGGTCCTCTTGGACTGGCTTTACGTTTCACGTAGAGTTTTGTCTCTTTTGCTTTTGTCAGCCTTGCGCGTTGGGAGGCTTACCTATGCCAGGCATAGGTTCAGTCTTAGCCCTGCGCTTGGGAAATAGAGCCCTGTCCAGCTTTCTAACTCTTCCCTGTTCCTACAGGGCCCCTGATGGTTCCTGCATCTTGACCAATAGTGCTGATAACGTCCTGCGGATTTATAACCTGCCCCCCGAGCTGTACAATGAGGGCGAGCAGCTGGAACGTTCGGAGATGGTAAGGGGAGGAGCTACCTGTGCCCCTTCACCGGCCACTGCACATTTCAGTCCCTCATGTGGGTGGAGAAAGTTGCGTCCACGTGTTTCCTGTTCACACACAGGACGTTTTTGCATGAGTGTACGCAGGCGGCACTTCCTGTCCAGGATGTGCAGGTGTTTAAGAGGCGTCCAAGTTTCCTTTAGTCAGGAATACGTGCTTTCCGTAAGAGAGTAGCGGCTTTCTTAGGGCAGCGTTTCAGTGACTTAGCGGATGTTTACTGAATGACCACCGACCTGTCAGTTATTGTGTGTGCCGCTGGGATAAAGGGCGGAAGGTGGCAGATGAAGAGCTGGCTTACTTTCTCGTGGGGAGCTCGACGACACAGGCACAAACCGATAAAGAACGAGGTTCATCCCGCATCGTGATAAATGCCGTGGAGGAAAGAAACGGGATGAGGAGGGACTGGCTAGAGGAGATCACTTTAGGTACAGTGGTTAGGAAGGAGCCCTCAGAAGAAGAGACTTTTGAGCTGAGATGTGAGGGACGGTGGGATGAGTAGCATGGAGGGCTGTAGAAGGAGCCTCGTGGGAAGACGCAGCGACACTACAGAGACCCAGAATGGGGCAGGAGCTTTGTGTGTTCAGGGAACAGGAAGGAGGCCGGCGTGCGTGGACTGAGGTCAGCAAGGGGGGAAGTGAGGATGGATGCCGTGACCCATGCTGTGTTGCATCTGGTGGGTCGGCCGTTCGGAGTTGGGAAGCTGGAGGAGAGTTTTAAAATGGAGGAGCGGAATGATGGTGGAAGTTTAAAGAAGAGATTATGGTGAGCAAAAGTGAATGTGTCTGTCACGATCTGGGTGAGAAGCGGTGGTGGCAGGAGAAATGGCGAGGCGTGAATGGATCCGAGGTGTGTTTTGTAGGACGTGGAGGTGCAGGGAAGGAAGTAATCAAGGGTCCGGGTGTTTGCAGCCGGGTAGGTGGTGGCACGATTGACCCAGGAGGAAACGGATAGGAAGAGGTATGGGGGCAAGTCAGGGGTCCTTAGATCTGTGAAATGTGAAGCTGAGGGAGACGTTGGGGTTGGGGGTGTAGTTTGGGAAGCGGAGGTGCATGTGGATGGTACCTGGTGTTTTGTGAACAGATCCAGTCTGGAGCATAGCTGGGGATGGAGGGGACTAGCAAAGTTTGGGGACTAGCCAAGCTTGCTGGAGCAAGCGCTCCAGCAGACGGAGTGGAGGGCAGCAGGGGCAGCAGAAGCAGAGGCAAAGAGTCAGGTCCAATGCTCTTGAGGCTGAGACAGATTGAGAGAACCACCCAAGAAGACAGTGACCTTGGCAAGAACATGTTCCAAGGAGTGACGGCGGCAGAAGCCCAGTAGGGCGAGGGGAAGAGAAGGTGGAGACGATTCTTTGGGAAGTTTTCTTGTGGAAGGGAGTTGAGAAATGGAGTGGTGACTGGAGGGAATATGGGGCCAAAGAAGGGCTAACAGGGTGCTTCCGCAGGGTCAGGAACAAGCCGGGAAACAGGGAGGAATTGGTGCTGGGAGGGGCGGGGAACAGGTCCCTGAGCGGCAGGCTGAGGACAGGATCCGGAGCGGAGCAGAGAACCTTGTTAGATGCAAAGTTCTCCCCTGGAGTAGGAAGAGAGGCAACTCGCTGGTGGTCGGAGGACTTCCACATCTCCTCACTTGGCTTCTCGGCAGCATAAAGGGAGGTTATCATTTGAAGGAAGCGGGTGCGTGGGGTAGCGGAGAAGGTGTGAATGATTGGTCCCGGGGAGGCAGAGATCGGAGGCAGCAAGGAACGTGGTAGCGTGGCTGTTCTGTGCTCAGTGCCCCCTGGAAATTCGCTGCCACTCATCTAAAGTGAGGCCCCGTGACTGCATTGCGCACCTGTCTCCCCGCAGCCAGTGAACGGGCTTATTTTCTCGGTTGGTAAAGTGAGGATGGGCGTCGTGGCGCTCAGGTCACAGGGTAGCTGGGGGAATTAAAGGAATTAACGTAACATGGACAAACCGGGGCCTGTTTTATATTCAGTAAACACTGGTTGTCGGTATTAGTTGAGTCAGGCCTGGAATAAGGGGCTCGTCGAGCTGGGCTTGGCGGCAGAGAAGGACAGGGGTCCTGAGAGCCTCCGCGGGATGGGCTGTGTAGCTAGTTGACTCGAATGTAAAGCAGGCCAGGAAATGGACTGGAAATGCGCTCTTGATGAAGCAGAATAATTGTGGCGGAAACAGAGCGAGTCAGCTGGGTGGGTGGGAGACGGTAGAGGCAGAGGCTGGGGTGTGACAGGGCGCAGGACTTGGCTGTGGGAGTGGCGGCCGAGGACACGGGAAGGCGGTGGCTGCGGGTGCTCCGGAAGGCAAGCCACTGGGAGAGAGCAGTGTTGGAGGGACCCACTCGCTCTCTCGATGATTCCTTTGGTGAACACATTGTTGTGGAGCTCATCCTATGTGCCGGGCCCTGTTTCAGGTGCTCGGATTAGTCAGGAAAACGGACACACACAAGTCCGCATCCTCTTTGCGTAATAGCTAATAACCTCGCACAGGGAATAGGGAATAAAGAAATGACCAAGTAAATGGTTTACCTGGCAGGGGCCTTGAAGAAAAATAAAGTGAGCAGGGGGACCGGGCCGCGGACTGCAAATTTTAAAAAAGCACGGTTGGGAAAGACCTCACTGTTAAGGTGACGTTTGAGCAGAGACGTGAAGGAAGGGCGGGAGCGAACCAAGCTGACATCGGGGGGAGAACACACTGGGCACAGAGAGGACTGAGCTCTCGGGCCGCAGCGGGAGTGAACGTCACCGAGAACCTTGGAAATCTGTGGGGAGTGAGGCAGGGAGCAGGTCCCGCCTCCCTGCACTTGCCCGTGGTTCTTGAAGCAGAAGCCAGTGGGGTCTCGGGGCCGGACAGGCGTGCTGGGCTCTCCTGCAAGAGCCCGGGAGCGGGGCTGCTGAGAAGAGCGTCTGGAAATGTGGCCGGCTGGGAACGGATCGCACCGGCCGGTTTACGAGGAACAGGAATGCTCGAAAGGGAGAAAGCCGTAGTCATCAGCCACCGCTCTACAGAAGTCAGCCCTTACCTTGACCTGTCCATTTTTTCCAAGCTTGTACCTCTCGGAAGCGTTCTCCGAGGTTGTGAGCCTGTAGACAGTGGTCGTATAGCCGCTGCTTTATTTCTTAACAGTCGTGTCCTAAGTGGTCTCCACGGTCCGTGTCCCGGTGTCTGATGCTCTGCTGGGGGCCTTGGATCAGTCATTCCTGTACCCAGTCCCCTGTTTCAGACGGTCGGATTTCCAGGAGTTTTGTGTCATAAATTGTCCAGTGGCCACCTTCGCGTGTTTTTGTTTTTTTTTTTTAAGATTTATTTATTTATTTGACAGAGATCACAAGTAGGCGGAGAGGCAGGCAGAGAGAGAGGGGGAAACAGGCTCCCTGCAGAGCAGACAGCCCGCCCGATGTGGGGCTCGATCCCAGGACCCTGAGATCATGACCTGAGCCGAAGGCAGAGGCTTTAACCCACTGAGCCACCCAGGCGCCCCCATCTTTGCGTGTTTTGATGGAGATTCTTCTCATAAGAGAGATCTTAAGAGCAAGAAAGACCCTGGGTCGGTAGCGTTGGTATTTGCTTTGTGTCCTGCGCTGTTAGTGTGAACGTCCAGGCCCGTCACAGCTCCACTCCTAGAGAATGTCACTGGCTGTGTCTGCAAGCTCAGTGTGTGCAAAGGGACAGTTAGCGGGCGGGGACATTGGGGGAGGCCCAGTTGCAGTGTTTCCCGATAGCCGTTTCTTCTTCCCAACGTAGTCTCCTAATTCCTCCCGTGTCTGACTTTTCACAGAGCTTTCTGGAACTTCCGTTGCTAACTCCCCGGCCTCGGCCCTGAGTGTTCTTCCTACCGTGGAGATCTCGCCCGAGGCCTTCACTCCCTCTAGCCCTACCCAGGGGAGATCCCACATCCTCTGTGCCCCGCATATCTCAGGTTCGGGGAGGGGGTGCTGTCCTCGTTCCTAGAAGCCATACTTAGACCATTGTGCCCTCTCTTTGTAAAGACTTTTCCTTCGAGGCCTACGTTGTCTGAGTCTCCTTCATCCACCGAGGACACGGGCACCTCATGGCTCTCCTGTGCACTCCAAGTCTTTCCACCATCTCGGTGACTTGGGGTATCCAAACCAGAAGGCCGGGTCTCATGCTTTAATCTTCCTTTTCCCTGACCTCCGACCTCCAGTTAATGGCCAGATTCCATCGAGCCCCTGCCCCAAGCTTTCGGATCCATCTGCTTCTGCGCACACCGCTGCCCCTGCTTTAATTGAGGTCTTATTGTCGGGGCCTTATGTTACTGGAACAGTTTCCTGTCTTCGCTCATTAAGATGTTTGGCATTGACTGCTGATGATAGACTGGGTGCTGGGGAGACAGGGGTGAGCTGAATAGGATCCTTGCTTCCTTAGACGGGTATGGTGCGGGGTGAGGGGCACGGAGGGCTGTAGGAACCCGGAGCGGGGCAGCTTGCTCTGCTGAGGGGTTGGGGAGGGCCTCCCCTTGGAAGAAGCCTCTAAGAGACCAGAAGGGTGATTAGGATTCAACCAGAAGGAGTTGTTGAGGGAGGTGAAGGGAGAACCTTCCAGACCTGGACACGAGTGAATGTCTGCAGATCGAAGGTGGGGTGAGTTGGTACCTTCTGGGGACTGGGAGTCAAAACGGGAGGGAGATTTTAAAGGAGCGAGTCCGGAGGGATGAGCCATGAGAGGGGAGCAGGGGGTCGTCCCCTGGTAAGGTGGTTGGGGCTCGCGCTGAGGGTATGCGGGCTCGCTAAACATTTTAAGCAGGAGTGTGTTGCCGGACAGAATTCCAGCTTAGCAAGGTCTCTGGGGCCTGCACCTGGCTGCAGCGTGGAGCGGCCTGGAGTACTTGCTGCAACGTGGTGACACTGGCAGGACGGCAGCGGCTGGGCCTGGCACCGGGAGGGAGCACACACGTTCAGGAGAGCCCCGAGAGGCGGGCCTGGCAGGGCTTCTGTAGCCAGCAGCTGTCCGGTTGCAGACAGGCTGGACCAGGAGGGGAAAGGGAGTGAAGAGGTTGGGGTCAAGGCTGGTGCTCAGATGGGAGGCTTAGATGTCTGGCTGTGGAGCCCAGGGGGAGCGGAAGGTTCAAGGAGGCGGGAGCCGGGTCCCTCCCAGACCAGCTGAGTTCCACGCGATGCGGAGCAGCAGGCAGCCCCGGGCTGCCGATGGGCACTTGGGCTGGAGTGCGACCGCATCTAGTGGAGGGGGCGACGTGCATGCGCGGAGCTGGCCTCGCACACATGCTCCGGGACACTCCGGGCACGCCTGCTGGAATACGGGAGACACCAGGGCCGTCAGCAGAGGAGGGCAGTGAGCGCACTGCTGTCCCGCAGCGGAGGGGCCCGAGTTAGAGCTCACACGGCACTGTGGTGACGTCTCCTGGTCACAAAGGGAGGTCACGTGTCTGGCACCGTGGGCACTGAACCGAAAGGCGTCCAAGACAATGGTATACTTGGTGTTTGGGGTGTTTTTTGTATGAATGTATTTTTTCTTAAAGATTTATTATTTGTTAGAGCGAGTGAGTGACCGTGTGTGTGCAAAGGGAGAGAGAGTAAACAGACTCCACGGTGACCTTGGAGCACAACACAGGGCTCGATCCTGGGACCCTGAGATCGTGACCTGAGCCCAAATCTGGAGTTGAACACTTAACCCAAAGAGCCATGAGGTGCCCCAATAAGAACGTATTTTTAAAGAGATGTATGAGAATGACGAATTTATTTACCTCTGAGGGCAGGTTTCCTTGGGAAGAAGTTTTAACTGTTATGTTTTACTTTATAAACTGATTGGAGGAGTCACAAGAGTTTTTGAAAAATTCTTCTTTGCTGGGCAGCCCTCTCCAGTCCCCTCCCTCTTCAGGGGTTTTGTACCATCGCTCCATAAACTTTGTTTTGCTGTCTTACAAAAAAAGCCCCAAAACCAAAAAATCCTTTGCATGTTTGGACCGTTTAATAATTTTTTAAAAAATATTTTTAAAATTTATTTGACAGAGATCACAAGTAGGCAGAGAGGCAGGCAGAGAGAGGAGGAAGCAGGCTTCCCGCTGAGCAGAGAGCCCAATGTGGGGCTCAATCTCAGGACCCTGGGATCATGACCTAAGCCGTAGGCAGAGGCTTTAACCCTCTGAGCCACCCAGGCGCCCCAAACCACTTAATAATTTTTTTAAGGATCAGGTGGGATCTAGTAGGTGCTCAGGAAGTGTATCAATGGTTGGTTCTTGGTTTTTGTGTGGGGATATTCTTTGCTTCTTCCTAAGTGTTTAAAAAGCAAAATGATAAACCTGTGGGGCTTTTGGCAGCCCACATCTGACCTCAAGGTCTGAGCTGACCCTCAGACACAGAGATCAGGATTCTTCCCGTTAACCCCGTCTGCCTTGTGCCTGGTCAAGTGCTGACAGTGCCACTCTGTCCTGACCCTGCTAGAGGCGTGACTCTGCCCCCTTTTCCTGCCAGTGACCCAGGCATCCCTGCATCTCTGCGCAGGCCCCTGTCCTCCGCATGGTAGAAGGCGACACTATATATGATTATTGTTGGTTTTCTCTGATGTCTTCCGCCGAGCCAGACACTTCCTAGTAAGTGATGTCTTTTGCCTGCCCCCTGCCTTCCCTTCCCATCCCGTCCCCCCCCCCCCCGCCTCCCTTTCAAGGGGATCCTCTACCGGGAGGGAGCTAGGGCCGCTAGGGGGTTCTAGGGGAGGACAGCCTGGTGTGCCCTTGAATTGCGAGCAGAGAGGGCCGGTCAGTTGGCTTCCTCCCCTTCCTTTGACAGCACTGGGACCTCAGTGTCCATGTCTCTCTCAGCGTGGCCAGCAGCAGCCGGGAGAACCCCATTCACATCTGGGATGCATTCACCGGAGAGCTCCGGGCTTCCTTTCGGGCCTACAACCACCTGGTAGGGAGCTCCCCACCCAGGCCCAGGGCTTAGCCTGGCCCTGCTTCTCCTCCATGGGGACAACGGAGGCTTTGCTGGGCCTGTTTGCAGTGCTTTCCTGCCCCTAGGACGAGCTGACGGCTGCGCACTCGCTCTGTTTCTCCCCGGACGGCTCCCAGCTCTTCTGTGGCTTCAACAGGGCTGTGCGCGTCTTTTCCACGGCCCGGCCCGGCCGTGACTGCGAGGTCCGAGCCACATTTGGTAAGCATCTGTGCCTCCCAGGGGAGGAGGAAGAAGGGCACTGCCGTGTCCAGAGGGCCCTTGTGTGAGCCAGGGGACCAGGTGTGGCCCATCCTCTTCTGGACAGCCCAGGGAGGCAGGCTGTACTCCGTGCATAGAGGAGAAAGGTTAGGGAACGTGGAACCTTCCCAGGGTCAAGCTGTGGGGTAAGGAGCTGCTTCCCTCCTGAGCCTAGGCCCTGTCGGCCGCGTCCCTTTCGCTGTCCAAAATCTTGGTACATCTAGGAAATTGGCAGTGAAGCTGATTCGTTTTCCTGTAAGCCTTCAGCTTTCCATCCCTCCAAGAAGACACAGATTTGAGAAGGAAGAAATAAGTCTTGAGCGTTTAGGTCCTTTGTGGGGATAGAAGGAGCTGGGGAGCCTCGGAGGTCTTTATCCTGCTGTGACAAACGGGACAGGGGAGGCATTCATTCTGGGCTCACGGGACAGGAGACCGAGTGCGCCTCTGATTAGCTTGGTTAGTGTCAGCAGTCCTGCCCTCTGCCCAGCGTTGTTCCTTCCCTCTCTAGCCAAAAAACAGGGCCAGAGTGGCATCATCTCCTGCATAGCCTTCAGCCCCGTCCAGCCCCTCTATGCCTGCGGCTCCTACGGCCGCACCCTGGGTCTGTATGCCAGTGACGACGGCTCCCCTCTTGCCTTGCTGGGAGGACACCAGGGAGGTGTCACTCACCTCTGCTTTCACCCTGATGGCAACCGCTTCTTTTCAGGAGCCCGCAAGGTAGGGGTCACACCCTGAGAGTCCAGAGAGGGTACACAGAAGGCAGGGGTGGGGATGTTGTCTGTATTGTGTTGGGGGGCAGCCGTGGGAAGAAATTCAACCCAAGCTAAGGGAGTGTCTGTAAACCTTGTGGGAAGCAGGGATGTCTTAAGGGGTGGAGGGGGGTGGGCAGGGGAGGGCCAGACTGCAGGCCCCTGTGCTCTGTGTCTCCAGGATGCTGAGCTGCTGTGCTGGGACCTTCGGCAGCCCAGTCACCCACTGTGGTCCCTGAGTCGAGAGGTGGCCACCAATCAGCGCATCTACTTTGATCTGGATCCGTGAGTGACCGGGTCCTGCCTGCCCTGGGGTCCCAGTGCCCCTGGGATGCCAGAGCCCCTGGGTGTGACGGGTCCCTGCCCCGGGAGGGTGAGGAGTCCATGTCACCAAGCGTCTGTCTTCCCCAGGACGGGGCAGTTCTTAGTGAGCGGCAGCACTAACGGGGCTGTGTCCGTGTGGGACACCAGCGGGGCTGGACCGGACGGGAAGCCCGAGCCAGTGCTGAGTTTTCTGCCCCAGAAGGACTGCACGAATGGAGTCAGGTGATCCACTACCATGGATCTTGGGGCTGGGGGTGGGGAGGGCGGCAGGTCGCTGACGCACCCCTGCCGGCCTTATCTCTCCCTGCAGCCTGCACCCCAGCCTGCCGCTGCTGGCCACTGCCTCGGGTCAGCGCGTGTTTCCGGAACCCGTGGAGAGCGAGGACGAAGGGGAGCAGGAGGTGGACCTTCCCCTGCTTTCCATGCGCCACGTCCACCTTGAATGTCAGCTTCAGCTCTGGTGGTGTGGGGGGGGGCCCGGGCGCGGGGATGGCCGATGCTCACCAGGGCAAGAAGGGCCAGGGAGGGACCCAGGAATCTGGGGACGAGTTTCTGTAAAAAAAGCTTTTATACCCTACGGGAGCCTTTGTGTCTTTTTTTGGGAGGCTCATGATGGAGATGGGGCTGGGAGGGGTACCTATGGGCTCCCCTGTCCAGTAGCACAAGGGGCTGTCATATTGTTCCCCAAACCAGGGTTGAGAGGTGGGACTAGGCAGGAGCCAATGGGACTGCCAAGCTCGGTGTGAAGTCAAGGGAGCGGGGGTGGGGCTCCATGCCATTGACTGGCGGGTTGCTAGGCGACTCAGTAAACTGAAGGGGGGAACCTGTTTGAAATCTCACTCCCAAGGTGGAGGCGGCAGGGGTCAGGGTGAGCGTGGCTGAGCAGGAGTGGCAGGCGCTGTGTGTCAGACTGCTGGGTGTGACTGCGTGAGACCGTGCAGACGGTGACAGACAAGACACCCGCTCCCTCGCGATCCACGCTAGCCGCCACCACCCAGCAGCAGAGGGACCATTACTCAGCTCTGGGGGAAGGGGAGCGGGAGCGCCTGCCTCTCCACCCCTGGACTCCCCCCAGGAGGCAGGCGACTGAGTAGCCAGAGTCAAGGGCACACTCGAGGGAGTAAAGGTGCCGAGAAGCTACAGACGTCACATTCCGTATTCCCGCTAGACGCGGGGCCCGGGCGGGAGCGGCTCAGTCGGCAGCTGTCACCGGTCCTGTGTCTCCATTTATCTGCGCGCTTTGGGGGTGGGGGGTGACTGTGTTATTTCGGGCAGTGGCCGCTCCCCACCCCCCGCCCCGGCCGAACACTGAGAAGGGGACTCTGCAGAGCCCGCGGGCAGGGGATCTGACTGGGACCTCACCGTCAGAGCGAGGCGACCCGAGGCCTGCGAGGCTGGTCGGGGAGAGGAATGTCACCTCTGCCCAGAGGTGCTGAAAGCGAGGGTTCTTACACCCGAAAAGGCAAATTCTCCTCCCTTCCCCCAGGATAATTGGAAACAGCCCTTCCGGCTGATGTGGGTTTGGGGCTGTAGGTACTCCCTTTCCTCTCCCCCGGCTCCGGTTCTCCCCGCCGCCAGGCAGCGAGGGCCCCAGTTTACCCCCGAACTCTTGCCTCGCGCCCCGTCCCAGGTAACGCGAGAGGGCCTGGGAGCAGGAGTGCGGCGACTCGGGCCGGCCGCCTGTACCGCCCACTCCCCGTGTGACCTTGGGCCGGTCTCGGTACCCGCCCCCCATCCAGAGCCTCAGTTTCTTCATCCCTACAATGGGCGCCCTGTGGCTCTGCCCCTCCCACTTCGCACAGGTAGTCGTGACGACCAACTCAGCCCACTTAGTGAAGTGCGGAACCTTCAAGGTTATGACTATTCTCCCCAGACCTGCCGGGAGCCGCCGCGGCGTTTTGGGCTGGGGTGGTGGGGCAGGGGGAGGAGGCTGCGGGAGCGAGAGGGGCCGGGCTCCTCGGGGCGGCGAGGGCGAGCGCCTTTCTGGATTTGGGCGCGGAAGGTTCCAGCCGCCCGGGCGGCCCCCGGGCCGCAGGGCAGAGGCGCCGGGGCGGCGGCGGCGGCGGCGGCGGGGGGCGGGGGGGCGGGGAGGGGTGGGGCGAGGACGGAGGGGCGCGGGGGGCGGCGGCGGCGGGGCGCGCGGGAGGTGCGCGAGGTGAGGGAGGTGCGAGGGGCGTGGGCTGCGGGCTCCTCCGCCGCTCCGACGCCGGCTCCAGCTCCGGCTTTTCCCTCCGCCATCCTCTCCCCCTCCCCGCCACTCCTTTAACTACCCCCTCCCGGGCTCGGCACTGGTTTCCTCCCCGAGCCCGCTGCCCTCAATCCCGGCGAGGCTGGGGCTCCGGCTCGCGCCCCTCCCTCGCTCCCTCGGCCGGCGCCCCATGCCGCCCCCGCCCGGCCCCCGGCTGCCCCAGTCCCCCACTTAGGCCGGCCCCGCGATCCCGGGGTGCCGGAGCGCGGGCCGGGGGCGTAGGGCGCCCGCGGGCGGCCCCTGGAAGGGCTCTAGCAGGCTGAGCGCTCCGCGGCAGGGGCGCGGGCAGAGCAGGAAGCGGGTCCGCGTGGGAGCGGTGGCCGGCCGCCGCCGGGGTGGTCGGGGCCGAGGAGCCGGGCCGGCCGAGGCAGTCACCGCAGGGGGCGAGCGACTTTGGGGGAGTTGGTGCCCCGCCCCCCAGGCCTTGGCGGGGTCATGGGGGCCCCCCGTTCTGGGCCGGGGGGGCGTGCGAGTCGGGGCCCTGCTGCTGCTCGGCGTTTTGAGGCTGGTGTCTGGGCTCAGCCTGGAGCCCGTCTACTGGAATTCGGCGAATAAGAGGTGAGTGGCCCCGGGCTGGGGAGACCCCACACCCTTCGGGCAGGGAGTAGGAGCGCATTGGGGATTTGGTGGGTGGGTGGGGGGCTGGTTCTCGGAGCTGGGAGAAGGCCGGAGGGAGGGGTGCTGGTGCTCTGATGCGAGCTGATGGGGAGCGAGACAGAGGTGATCTTGGGAGCCAGACTCCCTCCCGGGTCGCAGACAGACAGAGCTGGATGTGGGTGGCGACAGCCATGTGTCGGGAGTTGGAAGGACCCCACAGGGGCAAGGATCCGAAAGTTCCTGGGTAGCCGCCTGGAGGCTGGTGGAGTGGTTATTTGGGTTTGCGAGGGACCTGTGTCCTGTCGGGGGCTGGGCTTGGAGGGAGCCTGGTTAATGTCAGCTCTCGAGAGAGCCGCTGAGTAGGTGCCGTGGAGCGCGGAGGGGAAGGGAAGAGTGCCTCCCTCCCCAGAAGGGACTCGATGTAGAGGAGGGGAGGGAAGGGGGCTCCGTGTGGGGGCCCTGGGGACAACTCACCCAAGGCTTCTGGACTCCCTCCACACCGTCTGTCCATTAACTCTTGCCCACAGCCAGAGGGTCAGTGAGCCCTTGGCGGATGGCGTTCCCAACCAGAAGATATTCCTGCCTTCCTGGCTTGGAGACTTTTTCTTTCTTTTTTTTTCCTGGAAGAAGCCTGGAGCCCCTTTTTTCTCCCTTGCATCTAGAGTCCAGAGGACTCCCTTGCCCCCTCCCCCATCCTTGCTGCAAACTCTTCCACCAGATCCTCCCCTGGCTTGCTTGCTTTGCTCTGAAAAAAAAGGCCAGGGGTCACATGAAACTTCAAGTCACACTGGGTAGATCCGGAACCCTTGGGAGGTCATCCAGGCCCCTGGCCTCGAAGTGGAGCCCGCTCCCCCCCTGAGCAAAAGAGTTCTGTGTTTTGCAAACTTCCCACTTCCCCGGGGGAGGCTGTGTGAGGCCACGGGAAGGGGAAGGGGGTGGGCTTGGAGCCCACCGCATCTGAGGGCTTAGTCCCAGCTCTGGTGCTCTCAGCTGTGTGGCCTTGGGCATGCCACTTAACCTTTCTGAGTTTGTATCCTCAGTCCTCCCGCCTTTTATGAGGATTAGAGAGGTAAGGTGTTTGAACATATGCTCATTGAAGGAGAACTAGGATTATTGTTTGTCTTTTCTTGACTCCCCAGCCTCCCTCCCTGCTGTGTCTCTTTGGGTAAAACCCCAAACATCTTTTCTCAGTCTGCTATCCAGCAACTCCCAGCTGCGGTCTGAGTCCAGCCCGAGGCTGTAAGTTAGGCTTATTCTGATAGGGTCGAGCAGAGGGAGAGGTAGGGTGTTCTGGGGGCTCCTTGTGATGGGGGATGGAAGGGAGTGGTCATTTAGGAGTCTGGGAAGATCCTGAGCGGCGGTGCTCCCTGGGGACCCAACTCTGAGACCCCATCCCCATTCATGCACAGGGAGAGGCTGCAGTCATGGGCAGAGGAGGTGTGGGTCCTGGAGGCTGTGGTTAGCAAAGTCAGTCCTAGAGCAATAGGGGACTTTCTCTGGGAAGTCTGAGCCCCAGGGCAGGAGGGTACTGAGCAGGGAGATGTCTGGGGCAGCTGGCCCCCACACCCTGCTTCCCATTAGCCTCCTTGAGGACCATTGCCAGACCAGGCATTTAACTCCTGTCACATTGCCTGGCTAACTTGGGACACCGGTCCGGATTACCCTCCACACTGGGTAACCCTCCCTTCCCACCCCCACCCCTCTCTTGCCCTGAGAGCCCTCAAATTCAGCGATGCCCTGGGGGAGGGGAGGCTCTGCCCCCATGGTTGACTGCCATGGAATAGTGAAATCACCTGGGATGGGTGGGCTGTGTGGTTCCAGAGAGGCCAGCTCCTTGGTAACTGGCATCCCGTTGCCATGGCAACGGGGCTAGTGATGGAGCGAGAGATGGCAGTGTGCGTGTGGCGAGGGCGGGCTGGAGAGTGCATTTGGGCACACCAAGGGGCCAACGACCTCTGAGCCTGGCTTCCCGCTGCTGCTGAGTCCTTAGCGCCTGACCTGGGGGAGCAGGCCATGCCCACAGGTGAAGGCTGGCCTGCAGGGATGTGCGGGTGAGGGAGACGAAGCTCTGGCGGGGGCGGGGTGGGGGGGACAGACCTCTGACAGCGCTCTCCTTGTCCACCTCGCCCTCTGACAGGTTCCAGGCAGAGGGCGGTTACGTGCTCTACCCTCAGATCGGGGACCGGCTAGACCTCCTCTGCCCCCGGGCCCGGCCTCCTGGCCCCCACTCGTCTCCTAATTACGAGTTCTACAAGCTGTACCTGGTCGGGGGTGCCCAGGGCCGGCGCTGTGAGGCACCCCCTGCCCCCAACCTGCTCCTCACTTGTGACCGGCCGGACCTGGATCTCCGTTTCACCATTAAGTTCCAGGAGTACAGCCCTAACCTCTGGGGCCACGAGTTCCGCTCGCACCACGATTACTACATAATTGGTACTGCTGGGCAGAGGGCAGGGTCTGGGGGAGGTGCCCCCGAGACGAGGGCAGAGGAGGAACCCAGAGAGACCCCTGATTCCTCCCCATCTCCCCCGCCCCACCCCCGGAGAGCTGTCTGGGTCCGGGAATGGGGACGGACCAGGGCTGGACTCTGGGCGGCCAACCTCTTCCTCTGGCTCTCCTCTCCCAGCCACTTCGGACGGGACCCGGGAAGGCCTGGAGAGTTTGCAGGGAGGTGTGTGCCTTACCAGAGGCATGAAGGTGCTTCTCCGAGTGGGACAAAGTGAGTAGGGGC